CAACCCTTACTTTTTTTTCCCCCAGGCTAAAATTCTTAGAATTATGCTCTGTGGATGGGATACTTAATCTGGGATCATTTAATGTGCTTCATGAACCAATGAAATTGAAAAGAAAGTGTGATGTGTATGGGTTTTTCTGGGAAGAGGTTTTGTAACTTTTATCTGATTTTCAACAGGGTCTTTGGCTTTCCAGCAGAATTATGAAGCCTACAGTATTATCTCACTCAAAATCTGCAGGTCAGGCTGTGGCTCATGCCCTAACTAGAGCTAGAGGTCAGATGATGATGAATTGAATGTACAATCAAAAGAGAGAGAGAGATGGAGAGAGCTTTGCCAGAACATCTATATATATTGGGTGCAGGCCACAGCTCCAAGGAAACTCCCTGATCACAAAATTGAGGATAATTATATAATACTGAGGATGGCCCAGCCAAGTTGACATATACCAGTAACCATCACATATAGGCAAGCAGAGAATTGCTGCAAGAAATAACAGAAACAGGAAGTCTAAATATGTAGGCAAATATAAATGACTACTGACTATATACATTATATAATTTACGGGGTATAAAATGTATGTAAAAATAAACATATAACAATAGTAACACAAGATATTGGATAGAATTAATGGCATTAAAGTTGCAAAGATTAGCATTCTTAGAGAAGTAGAAAAAAAATTGTATATAACTGTACAAGTTAAAAATGCATATGGTGATTTCCAGGGTAATCACTAAAAGAATAGTAAAATAATGTATAACTAACAAATTCATAGGGAGAAAATGAAATAACTTGTTTCCTTTCCACCCAGAAAGTCTCAAAGAGAATGATGTAAGCATTTTCAGTAAGAAATTATTCGAGCCTCTCAATATATAAAACACCTGAGTTGCTATTAGGGCTCTGGTGGCACAGTGCCTAAGGCATTTGACAGCTAACAAGAAGGCTGGTGGTTCAAACCCACCAGCCACTGCTTGGAAGGAAGACTGGGCAATTTACTTCCGTAGAGATACTGCCTCGGAAACCCAAGGAGGGGTCGCTATGAGTCGAATCAAATCGACTCAATGGCAGTGTGTTTTTTTTCTTTTTTTTTTTAAGTTGCTGTTAGTCATTCTGGTCATTTTTTTTTTTTTCATTTTTAATTGTGATTTGGGTGAAAGTTTACAGAGCAAATTCACTTTCCATACAGAGTTCACATACACTTTGTCTCATGACATTCACTACCATTTACCCCAATGCAACAGCTTCCCTCCCACTTCTTCCCGATAGTTACCTCTTCCCTGTTTCCATCCCTCCATGCACTCCTGCCCCCTGAGCTGTCTCCCTGTGCATAAGCAGCCCTTCTTTCTCCCATGATTGTTCTCTTCAAGGAGTGTATCCAGCATCAATGCTATGTCTTCATTTTTGACATAGTCTTCAGAATTTTTATTCAATATTTTGCAACTGGTTTGT